GTGTCCACGGATGGGGAATATAACCGGGGTGGTTAGAACACAAGTCCTCATGTTCCAGAGCCACCCAGCTCTCCCTCTGCCCTCACAACCTGACCTCCTACCTTGACATAGTCATAGAAACAGTCTTCAGAAGGCTCCAGGTCAAACTGCCAGAAGACAAGCTTCACCCTGTATCCCGTGGGGACTGTGATCACAGTGGTTGTCTCAAAGTTGTTGGGGTAAGGCTTGGGGTACAGAGGGGAAGTCACCTCCCCATAGAGATCCTGAGCGATGGGCATGGAGCCTCCCACCTTGCAGAACAGGACTGACGCCAGGAGGTATAAAAGCCACCTGCCAGAAAGAAAGAGGGTGTCTGGAGGGCTGTTTGGGCAGTGGCTGGGGTGGGGGATGGGATAGTCATACCGCTGGGCATTTTCCTCTGCCTATTCTAGACCTCACCATGTTCCAGGTGAGTGTGGTTGGAGTGGGGAGGCTGGTCTCTGCATCTGCTGCATTGATTGTTTCTCCCCAGGCCAGAGTCCAGTCCAGAGGTCAACTGCCTTCACCTCTCTCCCCATCCTCCTCCCCTGCCCTGTACCATCACTCCCCCTCCCCCCAGCCCTCCCTTCCCATTCCTGGAATAGGGATGGCTTGGGACCAGCTAATTGAGGGTGAGGGTTTCCAGTCATGGTTCTCTTAAAGGGCTCCCAAAGGCTCAGCAAAGGCCTCTGGGAGAAACCGCCTGTGGAGTACGGAGAAGTGTAGCACAGAAGAGCCCCTACTGAGCAGAGTGGGTTCCCCCATCTTGGCACTCCCCTGCTATGAGCTGGGGGGAAGGAGAGGATGTGGCCATCACCTCATATGTCTCAGGCCTCCTTTAGTCCTCAGGAAGGGATGGGGAGTATGAGTTTGAGTGTGTGCATGCATGTGCACATTGGAATAGATAAGGGATATGGGGAGGAGAAGGCTGTTCTTGTCTCTCTGAATATATTTGGGGGCAGCGTTGCCTCCCATGCCCAGGGTTCTCCCCTCTGGTATCTTCCTCCCTCCTCGGTCCCCGTCAGCCTTACTCACATTTCTCAAGTCCTGTTTTTGGATCCTGGACTCTCCTGACAGCGTCTTCATCCACTCTGTGCAGAGGGAGAGAGCAGCGGTCATGCAGAGGAGAGAAGGGGGAGGGAGGGACTGACTGAGGTGGGGGAAGGGGGACCTTTCCCGGAGGAATGCTGTAGGGAATGAACTATTTGCATAAACAAAACTGAAAAAAAAAAATCTGTTTCCAGTTTCATTCAGTTTTGGTTTTGAATTCCCTGATAGTGCTGCCACCTGTTGGCCTACATGGGGAAGAGTCAGTTTTTAGGGACAGAAAAGCCTTTGGTTGGAAGCCCAAACTTCTTGTTTTCTAAGTCTGATCTGAATACTCCCTATCTTCAGGGACCTTCCTAGGGACTGCTGCTGTGTTTACAAGATTCCCACCCAAAGTGCAGTGGAAATCTCAGCTGAGGGGACTCTCCTTTCTGGACTGCCCTTTTCCATTCACCGGGTTTGTCCTGCCCTTAGTCACAGCAGCCCTGGTCCAGCAATGGCCAGAGTTTTGACACCCAGGATGATGTGACAGGAGTAGAGGAGGGCAGCAAGGGTGTGGACAGAGGAAAATGGAGTTTGGCTGCATTGGAACCCTGGCTTACTTTGCTCATGGATGACACCTAGACATAGAACAGGAATTGCTGCATGAGGGTCTGTTGTAAGACTCCTCCTCCCCTCCTCAATGAAATCGGCTTTTAGAGAAGCAAGGGCAGCTGGGGAGTGGGCGGAGGCAGCCTCTTTGCCTCAGCATCTTGTTAAGAATTTGAGCCCCTGAGCATCGCAGTTGCTTAGGGCCAGGCGAAGGGAGTGGCTGTGGACCAAGAGTGACTTGAGGGGAAGCTAGACGCCTGGGAGGGAGGAGAGCTCTTGTCCCTCCTGTCCACCAGGACATAGTGTCCTGTTTTAAAGGTTTGCTGTTTGTGGGAGCCTTTCTTCATCAACTCTCCATGGTTCAAATGCCTTATGGCATGAATTCCATTGGGAGGCTCGGGCTGCAGAGCAGGGCCCTGAGGTCTGAGGCCTTTGTCGTGTATCCTGCTTGTTTCCCTTATTAGATTAATTCCTCTATCCCTGCACCCACCCACCCACTCATTCCTCCTTAATGGGCCACCTACGTAATGTGCCAGGCACTTTCCTAGGCGATGGATTGTAAGGACTCATGAAGATGGAGCAGTTCTCCGTTAGGCAGCAACAAGTCCTCACTGAATGCAGTGAGAGCAGGCACGTGCAGGGTTTCTTCAGCAGGCTTACATGTCGGAGCTGAGGAATACATCTTATGGCAGGGCTGACCCATGGCGTGACCCATGACATGACCCATGGCCTTGTAAGGTCAGGAAAGACAAAAGATAGGGAGGATAAGGAAAGAAGGGGACTCTTGTCCAGCAAGTTGCACATTAGCATCCTGAGAGCAGTGTGTGTGTGTGTGTGTGTGTGTGTGTATGTGTGTGTGTGTTCATGGTGGGGGCAGGATGGCAGAGGTAACAGGGAAGGAGGAGGTGGTCTGAGAAGGTAAGTCTTAGCTGTACTATTCAACTTTGTAAAATAGAAGTAACCACATGTACGTTCACATTTTAATCCTATCTGAGAAGGTAAGTCTTAGCTGAAGCTCTCCTAGCCCTTCTACAGATTCTGAGGTCTGTCCCAGTACTTTGCAACATGACTGGAAAGTGACAAACCTGGCTCTCATTAGCTCAGTCCCACCCTAACCTCCACTCTGCCCAACCACTCAGAATAACCTTTACTTACACATTTGACTTATGCCCTTGACTCATAACAAGAATAGAAAGAAGGAACAGCCATATAAAGAGTGTCAGGCACTTGACTTAAAGCCAGTATTTGAAGACATTGTCTATTACATTGTTCATTCCTCTTAGGATTTGATTTTGGGGGAAATTTTTTCTCCCTTAAAGTAATGGTAGGGTTTTCTTTGTGGCTATATCCATAATTATACCCATATCTAGTTATATAAATATAGATGTATACATATGGGTATATATTTTTTGCCTTGGTTGGGAGAAACTTATATCATTTTTTTCAATAATAAAAAACAATAAAACTAAATACATGTTCATTAAATAAAATTTAGCAAATAGAGAAAAACATGGAAAACAAAACAGCCAGAATTATACCACTTAAAAAATCTCTGAAGAACATTTTAGAGTATTTTAAAAATGTCTTTATTAGTTGATTGATTTTAGAGAGAGTGGAAGGGAGAGGGATAGAGAGATAGAGACATTGATGAGAGAGAAACATTGATTGGCTGCCTCCTGCATGCCTCCTGCATGCCCCTGCATACCCCCTGCTAGGATCAAGCCTGCAACCCCCACATGTGCCATGACCAGAAATTGAACGAGTGACCTCTTGGTTCATGGGTTAGCACTCAACCACTGAGCCACACGTGCTGGGCTTAGAGTATTTTTAATGGTCTTTGTATTATGTACTATTCAACTTTGTAAAATAGAAGTAACCACATGTACGTTCACATTTTAATCCTATTTTTCCAAAGGTAAATTTAACCTTTAACTATATAGCTAACTTGATTTTCAATAGTAGCAAATTTGCTCTCTTCTCTGTTTCATTCATTTTCTAGTTCTATTTGAACAAGTGTATTTTATTTGCAACTTTTACTCTAAATCACCACCATGTCCTTACTAAAAATTAAATAGTTGGTCCTCTCAGGTGGAGCATGGCCCGGGGTGTCCAGCAGCACTGGAGGGCTCTGTGGGAACATCCAGCCCAGGATGGGGCTCAGGAGATGGGGTGTCTGCAGGAGATGGGGCCCCAGGAAAGTGCGAGCCAGGTGTCATCCTCCTCACTGAAGCAGGAATTCCCAGGGAGAGAGAATCTGTAGGGATGTGGGACTGGGAAGGGGCAGTGGGCGATACGGGATTGGGAAGGGGCAGTGGGCGATACGGGATTGGGAAGGGGCAGTGGGCGATACAGCAGGTCAGGAGGAACCCTGAGAAGTGTACAGGCGCACTGGGAAGCACACGGCCTTGGCTGTCCCAGACCAGCTGTGGCATTTGGGCAAGTCACTTTACCCTCTGAACTTCAGTTTCCTCATTTAAAATGTGAGTCAGAAAATGGATAAAGCTTTACATTGAGTCTTGAAAAAGTACTCCCACAGTTATAGTGTCCAATTGTTCATAGATGAAAGGTTGATCCATACATTTACTAACAAAGCTTAAAAGTAAGCCTTGAAAAGATCAAGTAAATTCCAATAAAACCTGCATCCAAATCCTCTTTACCCAATCATGTATTGAGGGACACTTCCATAGCCTGTGACCCATATATACAGTGGAATACTTCTCAGTCACAAGAAAAGATGAAACAACTGCTGTTTGGGACAACCTGGATGGATCTGGAGAAGTTATGCTAAGTGAAATAAGTCAGAGATAAAAAGTCAAGAACCATATGACTTCACGCATGTGGAATATAAAACTGAAAGTGATAAATGAACAAACAAAAACTCATAGACACAGACAACAGTACGGTGGTTATCAGAGGGGTTGGGGTGAGGTAGTAAAGGGTATAGGGGCTCAAATATACGATGATGAAAGGAGACTTGACTTTGGGTGGTGAATACACAATGCAATATGCAGATGATGTATTATAGAATTGTACACTTGAAAATATAATTTTATTAACCGATGTCACCCCAATAAATGTAATAAAAAACTGTCTAAAAACAAGCTCCAACAAAATGTAAAGGAGTAAAAATAAAATCTATAAATCTAAAAGAAGAAAATAAAATGTGATTATAACACATCCTTTGCAAACTTGGTGTGAGGAGTCAATGAAGTAGCATGTGTGAAGCGCCTGGTATACAGAATATGTAACAAAAACCGAGCTGTCACTGTAATTGCATCTGGGAGTTGTGGTAGGCGGTGCAGCTGACAGTTTGGATATTTGAAGGTCAATTAATGAGATTTGGGAATGTTTCAAAGATGCAATGAAATTAAGACCACTTCCCTCATACATCACTGAACAGGGGGATGAGCGGGTGGCTGTGTCAGCAGAAAGTGAAGTTCAAAGTGAAACTCACTGAGATGTACAGGGCTTCCCTGGGCTTCATGCAAACTCACAGGAAGGTAGAGGGTGAGGAGGGGTTGGGGGACACCCTTCTTATCTGGGATGAGATCAGCCTTGAGCAGAGGAGGAGTTCTCTCTCAGGGACTCGGATAGGGATTCCCTGCCCACCCCCTCCCCACCCACAGGACTCAGTCTTCGCTTTCAACCCTCTTCTTCTGGGGCCTCCACAGTGCTGGTGTCATTGCTCAGCGCGCCCAGGGTCAGCCCTTCCCACCCATCACTTCCTTGATCCAGTCCACATAATTGAGCACTTTGGTGTAGAAGCCGTACCCTTTGCCACACCCAATGCCCCAGGATACGATGCCCGTGGCCACCCAGTGACGGGCATGGTCATCCCATACTACATAGACGCTACCACTGTCCCCCTGGCAGACACTCTGCTGCCGTGTCTTATCCCCGACACAGAACATGTTATCAGAAAACACCTCAGTCCTCTGTTTCTCTTGAAGCCAGGCCTCGCAGGCCTCCCTCGGGGCAACAGGCAGCCTTGAGTATTTCAACTCGGTAGTTAGCCAGCCCATCTGCACACCAAACCCACTGACATAGCCCATCAGGCCACTGCGGTAGAGGGTCTCGTTGTCGGGCAGACAGACCGGGAGGAGGTGGGGGCCCAGGGGGACACTGTGCTGGAGTTCCAGGAGGGCAATGTCCCCGTTGAAGTTGTAGGACTCGTTCTGACGGTAGTCTGGGTGCACAACCACACGGCGCACAGGGTGGTTCCCCAGTTTCATCATCTCATCTATGCCTGTGTGGCCCAGGAACACCTCCACATTCCTCTTCTTCCCGAGAAAGATGCTGTCCTTGGGATAGATGGTGTGGGCGGCCGTGAGGATCCATCTGTCGCCCAGCAGGGCCCCGCCCCCACGGCCATAGATATTGGTGAAGGCTTGCCAGGGGAAGTTGCCCAGCTTAGCTTTGGAAGAACCCTGGGCCTCCTGGTTCTGGGCGATGGGGGTGACTGGCTGTCCACAGACTGGGAGAGAGGAGAGGTAAGGGTGAGAAACCAGCATGCATCAAGCCACAATGATTAAAGACCTACTTCTGTGAAGTGCTCTTCCTCCTGCCTCCTGAGCCATTTTAAGTTACTTTTTTACACTCTTGGTGGGACCACCCTGAGAAAACTCATGTAGCAAGCAGAGTTTGCCTTCAGTGCCTCTTGCCTCTGTTTTTTGTGTAATTTCTTCATTTAAAAAATGTTTTTATTGATTTTGGAGGGAGAGGAAGAGATGGAGGGACAGAAGAAGAGAGAGAAACATTAATGAGAGAGAGAAACATTGATTGGCTGCCTTCTGCGTGCCCCCCACTGGAGATGTGGGTGGATGGAGCCTACAAGACCCGGAATCGAACTGGTGACCCTTTGGTGCATGGGACGATGCTCAACTAACTGAGCCACACTGCCCATGGCCATTTCCTCAGGCTGCCCCTAGAGCAGGGGTGGGCAAACTTTTTGACTCGAGGGCCACAATGGGTTCTTAAACTGGATCGGAAGCCGGAACAAAAGCATGGATGGAGTGTTTGTGTGAACTAATATAAATTCAAAGTAAACATCATTACATAAAAGGGTATGGTCTTTTTTTTTTTTTAGTTTTATTCATTTCAAACGGGCCGGATCCGGCCCGCGGGCCATAGTTTGCCCACGGCTGCCCTAGAGCTTTCTGTGGATCAGGAGTAAAATCTGAAAAATTTATTCAAATGGGTTAGAAAGGCAATGGTTTGACTAAAAAAAAAAGGGGGTTTCAAAAATGGTAGACTTGAATCCTCATATACTGATGATGGGAATTTACAATGGTGCATCCATTGTGGAAAACAGTTTGGCAATTCCTCAAAAAGTTAAATATAGAGTTATGATAGTACCCAGCAATTCCACTCGTAGGTATATACTCAAGAGAACTGAAAACATACGTTCAAACAGAAACTGGTACATGAATGCTCATAGCAGCATTGTCTATAAAGGGCAAAAAGTGGAAACAATCCCAATGTCCATCAACTAGTGAATGGATAAACAAAACGTGGTATGTCCACACAGTGGAATTCTATTCACTCATGAAAGGAAGGAAGTACGAATACAAGCTACAATGTGGATGAAACCTGAAGACATTGTGCTAAATGAAAGAAGCCACACACAAAAGGTCACATGTTGTATGATTCCATTGGTATGAAATGTTCAGAATAGGCAAGTCCATAGAGACAGAACACAGAGTAGTGGTTGCCAGAGGATGGGGAAGGGGAGAGTTGGAAGGGTACTGGGTTTCTTTTTGGGATGATGGGAATGTTTTGGAATTGGTGGTAATGGTTGCACAGCATTGTAAATAGACTAAAAATTACTAAGCTGTACACTTTAAAATGGTGAATTTTATATTATGTGAAGTTTATTTCAGGAAAAAAACAAACAAACAAAAAAGGTGGACTTTCTGGCCCGGTGGGATCTAAGAAGGGAGATGTTTTGGGGACAGAGAGCCTGTCTGTGTATTCCTAACGCGTACCATACCAAGAGAGGGTTTCCTCTTATTACAACCCTGCCCCTTTCCCCTTCACTTTTCCATCTGATTATCTTCCTTCATGCTTTTGCTTTCTTAGTTATCTCTTTTTTAAAAATATATTTTTATTGATTTCAGAAAGGAAGGGAGAGGGAGAGAGAGATAGAAACATCAATGATGAGAGAAAATCATTTATTGGCTGCCTCCTGCACACCCCAAAACTGGGGATCGAGCCTGCAACCTGGTCATAACCTGGGCATGTGCCCTGACAGGAATCGAACCGTGACCTCCTGGTTCATAGGTCGATGCTCAAACACTGAGCCACACCGGCTGGGCTTGGTTATCTCTCGATCTTTGAAGAATACGGGACAAGCTCCTTGCCTCTTCTTTTCTGGACCTTCTTGGTTTCCCTCTTCTTCCTCCCCTCCTGCCTTTATTTCCTCTTTCTATTTGAAGGCTTTCCTCTAACCCCCTGTATCCTGGTCCACAGGCCCCTGCTTGGAAAGTGGCCATAATCACAGCACTGGCAGGTCACTACTCACCAGGCACACAGCGAGGAGCCTCCTCCTTGTCCAGCGTCTCTTTCCCAGGGCTCTGGGCTCTGCAGATGAGTGTCTCTGAGGAGTGAAATGAGGTGAGGCTCAGAATTGGGAGGTGGGGCTAAAAAAGTAGGTGCCGCAGGCCCGTTGGTGGGAGTAAGGCAGATAGAAGCTGGTTCCCCAGCAGGTGGGGACTCACCTGCTGGCACCGCCTGATAATAGGGCTCCTGGCAGTGGTTCTGGATGTCGGAGGAGTTGTCCCCAGGTGTGTGTGTGGCCTCAGAGTCACCACTAACCTGGCTGATGGGCCGACTATGGTTCATACCTATAGGGAAAAAGTGGCCATTAGGACGTAGAACAGAATTGCAAACTGGCACCCCAGAGAGTGATTCTGGCCCATGGCCATATTTAGTTTGACCTGTACAGTGTTTTTTGTTTTCTTTTTAAACATTTGAACTATTTTTCACTGATCAGATGGTCAATGCTAAAAAACAAATAACTAGGATATGGGGAAGTGGGCATTTTCAGACATGATTAGTGGGACTGTAAAGTACCAAAACCTCTTAGGAGGGAAATTTAGCAATACCAAAATTAAAAATGCATTTTTTCACCTAGCATTTCCATTTTTTTAAAATATATTTTATTGATTTTTTACAGAGAGGAAGGGAGAGAGATAGAGAGTTAGAAACATTGATGAGAGAGAAACATCAATCAGCTGCCTCCTGCACACCTCCTACTGGGGATGTGCTCACAACCAAGGTACATGCCCTTGACCGGAATCGAACCTGGGACCTTTCAGTCCGCAGGCCGACGCTCTATCCACTGAGCCAAACTGGTTTCGGCTGCATTTCCATTTTTAAGAATTTACTCTCATATGTGTGCTCCAAGATGTATATGTAAGATATCCATAACAGTACTGTCTGTGGCAGCAAGATATTTACCAGTGGAAGACTGATTAAACACATTATGACACATCAATCAAAGGAATATTATATGGCCATTAAAATAATTAGGCAACGCTGCCACATGTATATGGGATGATCTTTAAGATATATGACTGAGTGAAAGATGCCATATTTAAAACATTGTGAATAGTATGCATGCAGCACACACACACACACACACACACACACACACACCTACCCACACAATTATATTTGAATGGCATAGCATGTCTTTGGAAGAATACCCAGGAAATGGAGAACAGAGTTGTTTCTGGACAAGATAGCCAGGGACTAAGGGGCCAGAGATCAGAGAAAGACTTACTCTTCACCACATTTTTGGGATATTTTTATAGTGAGCATATATTACCTTTAAAAAAATTCTGAGTTACCAATTGAAAAACAATTGGTAACCTTTGGCTTCTCTTGAAAAAACAAGATGATCTGCAAGTTCTGGGCCAGTAAATGGTCATGGAAACAACTGTTGAGCAATGGCTGCCCTTTAACTGGCAGCTCATCAGCAGAGGCCTGGAGGGGGCAGGGAAGGTGTGGGCCTGGGTGTTCCTGAGCCCCCAGTGTCAACAGTCACTCAAGTTTCTGCTTGGAGCTTCAAGGCACCAGGGCCATGGCTATGGGCAGAGTGCACCCCCGAGGGACACTCACTCACGGCTTGGTAGAGGACCAGGAAGCCCTTGTGGAGGCCCGTTGTCCTGTCCGCAGAGGAGGCTGGTGCAGGGAAAGTCAGCCGCAAACTGTTCCCCGAGGACACAAACTCCCTCTGACCTGGGGGGCTGCCCAGCGGAGAGCCCACTTGGCCATAGAACCGGCTTGGATCCATCGCACTGGCTGTGATCTGAAAGGAGAGGGGGGCAGGCAGGTGTGGGGTGAATTTGCAGCACAAGGGGTCACCGGGTCACATCATGGGCATAGGCTTCGTCCCCATCTAGGAGGTCTGCACTCCTCTGGGGCTGAGAAGCTGTTCTCTGTGGAACCTTGCTCAAGTAGCTTCCTGTTCCATTATTGACTCCCCAGTTTCTTCCAGACATGACCAGATAGATACCTTGCATATTTCTTCAGCCTGCTATAATTGTCTCATAAAGTCTACCATATTTACCTTCTTTCAAGAAGCTCCTTGGGAACAGAGTCCATAACATCATAACAACGATGTTTGGTGACAGATGGTTACTAGACTTATTGTGGTGGTCGTTTTGTGAGGTATATCAATATTGAGTCAATATATTGAACTCCTGAAACTAACATAATACTATATGTCAATTATAATGAAAAACAAATCAATAAAAAAGAAGTTCCTTGGAAACCCTAGGGTTCTCCCAATAGTCCACTATGTTGTAAGTTCCAAGAAGGCAGGAAGCACATCTATTCTGCTGGCCACTGAATCCCTGATGCTCAACATGGTGCCTATAGCACCACGGCTTTGAATCAACGGCGATGCAGACAAAAGTCCCTTCCATCCAACCCCATCACCTTCCTCTTCTCTGAGTAACTTCCTGTGGGCCAACAGCTGTGATGCAATAAGACCCTCTGCAAACACTTAGCTGGGGTTCCTGGTCTTTCCTGTTCTCCTTCTTTTGGAGTGTCCCTCCTCTTACCCCATGCACTGTAAATAAAGCCCCACAAGGCGTGGGAATCTAAGGACTCAAGTGTACACAGTGTGGATACTCTGGCTATTGTTGTTTAACTTACATGTTCTTTGAGCAGGGTGTCTCTGTGTCAAACCCTTTTGACTGCCTCACCCCTGCTCAAATTCCTTTCTGTGGGTTCCCCAACCCAACGCAGGATACCTTGGAAGGAGTTCCCTTGACTGATAACTCATGCTTAATCTCTATTCTGGGCACATGGCTCACTGCTCAGCTCATATTATTTTTAAAATTTTATTCCTGATTTCATATTGACCCACAACCTGCGTCCTTGCTAGTTTTTCATTCGCTTATTCTTCCAAAGTCTCAAATTCCTTTAAGAGGCCATCCAGCCTATCTCATTGTGATCACATTAACTGGGTAAAAGTTGGCATGAAGAAAATTTCTCAGTCACCCCAATGCCTTGCTTGGGCACATTCCAATACTGTTCTTTTCCTCAGAACAACAACAAACTTAAGCCCCATATTTAAGAGACTCATTATCTCTTGGGGGAAGAAGCCTTTTTGCTCTCTGAAACTGTCCTTTACTGATCTACTTGGTTGTCAAACTCCCCAGCTTTCTTTTTAGCTTCCTCACAAGTTGTTGGCTAAATAGAATCACGTAGGAGTCTAACTAGCAAAGCAGAATGAACATATGGCCGTGAGTCCTAAGACTTTGCTCTTAGGACTGTGTGACATGGGGAGTTGCTCAACCACCTCAGATCTTAGTTTCCTGTCCTGTAAAATGGTCTGTGAGGCCTCTTGCTGTCAGGGCAGCATGTCCTATGGCAGCTTTCCAGTATGTCCCTGAAGAGCAGTGGTGAAGAGGATACGAAATACCTGCTCATTCAAAATTCATTGTGCTGTGTGTCCTACACGTATGACGAGCTTGGATTTCATTTATTCTTTCATTTATTTCTTTGAGAGTTATTATGCTCTATGTGCAAGACACTATGCTAAGTGCAGGGACACAAACATGAATAAGACATGGTTTTGCTACCGAGGAGCCCATAGTCTGGTTGAGAATATTGCATTTAAGGTGTGTGTGTGTGTGTGTGTGTGTGTGTGTGTGTTGCCATGGCAGCAGAGAGGAGAAAAGAATTCTATTCCTGAGCTTGGATTTCCTCAATGACAAGGGAAGAGTCAGTCTGGGCTTAAAATTGTCCATGACTAAGAAGAACAGGGCTCATGGTAGGTGCTCAATAGAATCGGTTGAATTGAATATAGTCGGCTTCTGGTGAAATCTGAAGCTTTAAATATGCATTTATCTCAAATCCCATTAATATGACAGCAAAGGGATGAAATGGTGTACATGGTCCAGGACAAACAGTGAGAGATGACAGCAGATGAGCGATGCCAGTAACATCTTGAAAGGTGGAATGGAGATGCAAAAGGGACAGCCTGACTCTGCGGAGGTGGAGGCCAACATAAAGCAGGTTCTCATCGCAGAAATTAGGATAACCAGGCACCGTGAGGATGGGGATGAGAGAGAGGCTAAGAGGAGCCTCTGTAGGGAGACCTCAGCATTCTGGTCCCTTTGCTCACCCTATGCATCCAGATAACTTTTGGGCTCACCCTGGCAGGAGACCTGAATGTGAGTCAGAGACCCTGGACTTGGGGTCCCCTGGAACACTTGATAGAGGGAGTGAGGCCAGAATGGAAAACAGAAGGATTAGGTGAAGGTCTACATAGCAAACAGTGAGATGCTACTGCTTGTTTACTAGAAGGCTGGCAACTCTGATCGGGAGACGAGAGGATTCCTCTCTGAGGCTGGCTGTCCTCAAAGAGAGTACTTCTGCATACTGACAATGGGGGCCCCCCCACACACATCTAAGTCACCTTGTTGATAACCCTGTTTTCAAACTTGTTTCACAAATTTCAGCTATCACACAGAGCATCCAATATCATTCTAGTACTTCATTCTTAAGTATGAATGGACGGCCAAGGATTATCAAACATTGTAGGAGAGATGAAAAGCAGAGACTAAAACAGATGAAGAGTAAAAAAGAGCTTGGATAATACAGGGACTAGAAGAAACATTTAAAAATAATTCTATTATAGGGAAAAGAGTATTGTCTAGTAAACAGGAACAGTATTCTGTAAAAAGGCACATTTAGAAAATAAGAATGAGGCTTCAGACATAAAAATATGTCAACAGAAAATAAACCATTACAGTTGGTATTGAAAAGGAGGAAATCTCCCAGAAAATGGAACAAAAAGACAAGGAGATGGAAAACACAACCGAATGAATAGCAAAACTAGAGAATCAGTCCAGAACATACAGCAGCTAAATCACAGGAGTTCCAGAAATCAAAAATAAAGCCAGTAGATGTCTGGAAATAATTTAAGAAACAATACAAGAGCATTCCTAGAATTGAAGGACTAGATTAAAAGAGTCTCCAGATTCAGAGAACTCTGTACAACCAGTGAAGAGCACATCAGGGCATATCATAATGAAAGTTCAGAATACTGGTAATAAAGAAAATATTCCCAAAGCTCTAGAGAGAAAAAAACTAAGGATCAGGACTCAATGCTATCAGACTTAACACGAGAGCTAGAAGACAATACCATCAAATTTCTGAGAGAAAATGACTTCCAACCTAGAATGCAACCCGGTTAAACAATCCATCAACTGTGAGGGCAGAACAAAGACATTTAGGGTTATGTAAGAGCCTCTGAAATTTACTCCCACATACCTTTTCTGGAGGAGAAAGTGCTCCTACAAAAAGAGGGAGTAAACCAGGAAAGAAATGGTGATGGGATTCAGTTCCAACACAGGACAGGCAAAGGGAATCGCCAGCATGAGGGAGAAGGGGACTCCCAGAAAGTGTGAAGGCTTGGAGAACAAAGAATTCAGACCGAGGGAAGAAACCATCAAGAGATCTGTAGGTGAATGTCACCAATAAAAAAAGAGGACTCAGAGATTGACATTTGTACTTGAATGTGCTGAGAAGAGATTTACTCTCCTGGCTAAGAGTTTGGGGAGGTTAGTTACAGAGGACTAAGCAAACCAAAGATTAGAACAAAAACCAACAAAAAATTCCAAAGAACTCCATGTAATTATTGACTCCTGGAAACCAAAGTTGGAGAAAACAAACAAACCTATAATTATTGTACTTCACTGGCTCAGATCTGAATATTTTAAAGTTATAATAATATAAATAATGACTCTAGATTTAATAAAAAATGACAGTATTGGTAAACTGGGCAGATGGAGGAGGGGCAATGTAGATGGTGAAGTTGTGAGATAGAGCTAGTCCTATCTATAGTTGAAAGTTAAAGGGTAATATTGCTAGACAGACACGAGTAGAGCAAGGCCAGGCACAGAAACTCACAGGGCAGAAAGCCCCGGATGCCCAGCAAGGGGGAAAACTGGGACAACAAGAACCTCACCCCCAGGTAACCTATCCTCCCCTAGCATGTCACTGCTTATGTGGTTTGGACCCCTTGTCTTTAATATCGATGGTCAGGTGGTTTAGACCCCCTGACCTTTTCCTCCTTAAAGATATCATCAAGGCCTCAGTTGTATTTCAGCTCCAGGTCCAGAAAAGCAGCAAAACCTGACAAGTGACGCTGTGGCTGCCTCAGGACAAGCTACTTTGACTAGTGACCCCCTGCCCTGGCACTGACCAGTCAGTAGAGCACACCCAGAAAACTGATGAATATTCTATTAAGACTCCCCCCGAGACCTCCCCTAAGATTTCCACCTGCAAGAGAGAGAGACATATGCTTAGGACAAAGGACCCCGTGCACACTCTCCCCCAGGGGAGCACGCCAGACCATTCCCTTCCCCCTTCTTTTTTAAGGGATCCCAGGAGACTTGTAACCAGAGGAGCAATGGGCAGCGGCAGCTCGCCCCAGGCTAACCCCGAACATGTCTCCAGGACCCCCTTTCTCTGACTTCTCAGTGAGCCAAAGCAGCCCACCCAGGCTTTCCCGTGGCTTCTTCTATGGCCTTCCTTGCTTCACTGTCCTAAGGATATTTTTGCTGCCATCATGGATACAATACCCTTTGGCTCAGCGTCGTGTAGCCCTTCCTTTTGGATATCTCCAACTCCTATCCCCTTTTCCTTAAATAAATTAAAATTTCTTTATTCACTGCCTGAGATGGCTATTTAGCCTGACCGTGCATCACCAACTTTACCCTTTCAAATGTGTTTTACAAAACACAAACAAAACCAGAATGAGCATTTAGTGATACAGATGAAAATAACTACCAGATGAAACAGCTACATGAATTGTAACTAATTGCCCCAGGAGAGGACAATGGAGGGGGGGGGGGAGTAGGCTGGAGACAGCTGTTTCTCATTATATGCCTTGTAGTACTCGGATTAAAAAACAACAGCCCTAACTGGTTTGGCTCAGTGGATAGAGCGTCGGCCTGCAGACCGAGGGTCCCAGGTTTGATTCCGGTCAAGGGTATGTACCTTGGTTGCAGGCACATCCCCAGTAGAAGGTGTGCAGGAGGCAGCTGATTGATGTTTCTCTCTCATCGATGTTTCTAACTATCCCTCTCCCTCCTCTCTGTAAAAAATCAATAAAATATATTAAAAACAACAACAACTATGTGCATGTATTATTTTGATATAAATAAAACTTAAACCAAAAGATAACATGAGGTACTGTTTTTGAAGTGTCCTTATTCGGATAATGCCCTTACCCTAAGAACTTTTGCCATAGCTCCTCTAAGGTAAACCTAGTCACCAAATCTTTTGTTATTATTCATGCCCAGCTGCCTGCCCTGACAGAGCAAGTATTCAGGTGTGTTTAATGACTGACGTGTGAGTCCTTGCTCTTTATTCTAGGGATTGGCAGTATTTGTGTGTTCCTTTGGGGCCAAGATGGTAGCAGAGCCAGGGACAGGGCTGCTGGTGGAGGCTGTACACCTGGGCAGACCCCGGCCTCCCAGGTAAGCCCGCCTGTGCCCCTGACTTGGGCTCTTCATCCATCCTCT